GTATTCCGGACCCCCTTTCCCGTCGCTCCCGTCACTCCGGACCCCCTTTCCGGCGGCTCCGGGTGACGCGTCCGCCTGTTGTCCCGCAGGGCCACGCGCCTGTTCTGCGACGTCTACAACCCGCAGAGCCGGACGTACTGCAAGCGGCTGCAGGTGCTCTGCCCCGAGCACTCGCGCGAGCCCAAGGTGCGTGCGGCGCCTATAGCGGCCCCGGGAACCTATAGAGACCCTATAGCATCCCCTGTGTTCCTATAGACACCATACAGTGTCTCCCGTGTCCACGTAAGGGATGTATAGCGTCCCCTGTGTCCCCATAGAGACCATACAGTGTCCCCCGTGTCCCTATAAGGGTTGTATAGCATCCCCTGTGTCCCTATAGAGACCATGCAGTGTCCCCTGGGAACCTATAGAGACCATATAGAATGCTCTGTGTCCCTATAGACACCATACAGTGTCCCCCGTGTCCTTGTAAGGAATGTATAGCATTTCCTGTGTCCCTATAGGGGCCACACAGTGTCCCCCGGGAACCTATAGAGACCGTATAGCGTCCCCTGTGTCCCTATAGAGACCATACAGCGTCCCCTGTGTCCCTGTAAGGGATGTATAGTGTCCCCTGTGTCCCTATAGGGGCCATACAGTATCCCCTGGGAACCTATAGAGACCCTATAGCTGTGTCCCCATAGAGACCATACAGCGTCCCCCGTGTCCCTGTAAGGGATGTATAGGGTCTCCTGTGTCCCCATAGAGACTGTACAGCGTCCCCCGTGTCCTTGTAAGGGATGTATAGTGTCCCCTGTGTCCCTATAGAGACCATGCAGTATCCCCCGGGAACCTATAGAGACCCTATAGCGTCCCCTGTGTTCCTATAGACACCATACAGTGTCTCCCGTGTCCACGTAAGGGATGTATAGCATCCCCTGTGTCCCCATAGAGACCCCATCCCGGCCACCCCATTCCGGAACCAGGACCCTTCCCCATCCCTACGACCCCATTCCCAGATTCCTGGGCCCCTTCGCAGGCTCCTGGGCCCCTTTCCCTTCCCTCCTGGACTCCTGGGCCCCTTTCTCTCTGCTCCCGGATTCCCGGACCTGCTTTCCGGTCGCTCCTGGATTCTTGCGCCCCTTTCCTGGACTCCTGGGCCCCTTTCCCGTCGCTCTGGACCCCCTTTCCCGTATTCTGGACCCCCTTTCCTGTCACTCCCGGACTCCTGGGCCCCTTTCCCATAATCC